ACATGCTTGGTAGAGGGTCAGTGAAAAAGAGGAAGACCCTCAACGAGATGGTTTGGCACCATGCCAGCAACAATGAGCTTAAGCGTAGCAACAATTGTGAGGATGGCACAGGACCGGGCAGTGTTTCCTTCAGCTGTACATAGCGTCGCTAAAAGTGAACCAACTTGACAGCACCTGACAACTACAACAACACTGTAGTAACAAGCAATCCTAAAAATCTCAGTGGCTTAATACAACAAAAGTTTCTTCCTCACTGACAAAAAATTCACTGAGTGATCTGGGCTACTTCAGTCTTGTAGCTACTACTTCTTAACTCAAGGCCTGCTCCATGACTGTTGTGGCAATGGAAGAGAGAGTCTAGAGAACTGCTCAAAGGCTTTTGACTGTCTCATCCTAGAAGTGACAGGGCACCTTTGTTCACATTTCATTGGCTAGAACTTGTCACATGGCCCCCACTAACTGCAAGGGGACTAGAAAGTATAAACTCTCATCTGCCCAGGAAGAAAAGGAGAACCAGATATTGGTTGAGCACTAGTGATGTTTATAACAAATGATGTGACTGAATTCAATTGTCCAGTGTCAGTCTGCTGATTTCCACTCCTCCAGCCTTTTCAAGGATGTTGGAAGCACCGAATTGCCTGAATGAAATCTCTTTTTGTTTGAAATGGCTAGAATGGTTTCTGGTACCTGCAGTGAATACTGACTGAATCAAGTGTGTGCTGGTAGCTTTCTGCTCTCCTATCTCCGTCCATTCTCTACCCTTCAGTGCCCTACTTTGTGCCCTAGGAGGCTGTTTCCTCCAAACTCCATCTTCTAGGCTCCTCTGTAGCTTTGACTGGTTTTGGATCATAGGCAGCATCAGCAAAAGATCAGAAGTTAGGAGGAAAGAGAGATCAGGATTATTTATCTTCTCTTTCCTCCTACTCCCCACGAGACTATATAGATCTCTTACACTGCCCTCAATTCTGTGAAGAGTCGTTTAAGTAAACTTTCCTTATTTAAAAACTTAGAGTGTGACATCTGTTTCCTGCCTGGATCCTGACTCATACAAGGTGTTTAATAATCAAATTGTGAGTCTGAAAAAAAACAGTAACAGACTGTCTCCCTTTCTCCCTTTTCACTGCAGCTGCAGAGCTTTATGAAATGCAAATCCAAATATATTGTTCCTTTGCATTAAGCCTTCAATGGCTCCCTGTTACACTTCTATTACCATCCCCCACTCTAAATTCCAGCCAGAATGAACCACTTTCAGTTCCTCCTGCTATATGGTCTCTCTTCCTCTGAGCCTTTGCACATGCAGAACCTTCTTCCTGGAAACTCCTCTCCACCCCCACTCTCATTCAGGCTTCAGCTCAAATGTCACTCCAGAAAGCCTTCCATAAACATACTTAGTCTGGTTGGATGTTCTCCCACAGCAGCCTCTATTTGCCGTATGTATAGATTGCACTGCCTGCTTACTTATCTTGTCTTCCAACAAGACTGTAACATCTAGGTCAGGGACTGCATGTCTGACCTCCACCACCTATTGAAGTGCTTGGTATATAACAGGCATTCAATAAATATTGGTTAGTTCCTGAATCTTATTGACAAAGCTTGAAGCCTCTCCTCTAGCTACTGACAAAAATCAGAAAAAAATAAATTTCAGTCACCCACTCCTCTTTACTATCTCCCATTCCTTTCCCAGACTATTTTAATCTTACTTTACCACCCGCTTTTATGGAGATTTTCTCTTGTCAAGATTACCAGTGACCTCCTAGTTCCTCAATTCAGTAGTTTCTTTTCAGTCCCAGTCCTCTGGGATCTCTCTGTAGCACTTCCTTGAAACTCCCACTGCCTCGCAGGGATCATGGCTCTCTCTCTTTTTTCCTAATACTTTGATTAAACTGTTTGCATATCCATGTTTTCCTCCACTTGTTTATAAAACTCCTGTGTGTCTTACTCATTTATACCTCTAGTTCCCAGCATAGTTCCTGGCACATACCAGTACCAGTTGCCGTTGAGTCAATTCTGGGTGACCCCACATGTGTCAGAGTAGAACTCTCCTAACTTTTCCATCTGAGCTCCAGACAGTGGCATCACTAGGAGGGTGTGGAGGGTGCGGGGGGTGTGGACTGCACCAGTGACACTGTCGGGGGGGTGACACCAAAATGACTATGTATAAAAATATCCCTGTAGTTAGTTATAACAACAAAAACGAGCCCAGCTTACATGTGTCAATATACCTACAAGGCTAAAACTCTGTGGTAACTGGTTTGGTTTTTTTTTTTTGGTGGGGGGGTGGTAATGCACTCCGGTGAGAGCTGTCATTATTACCCAATTACAATGATGCTTCTAATCACATGGTTTCATCTGCATGAGTTATAAGCACATGTTGTGGTTTTGTTTGCTTCTGGTGTTTTTATAGTTGCTGATTTTGTCAAATTTTCTGGTGTGTTAGCTCTAATACTGTGATAATTAGTATTTGTGAACCTACATCAATAACTTTTTTGAGAACGAAGTAGTGATTAAAGGAAAAGAAGATGATATATGAGAATTACAATTTACCAGTGACATTAGTACAAAAAACATTACTAAGGATTCTGTATGGTTTGGTATGGGAGGAGGTCCATGGGGGGGTGGGGCTGACACCACGAGTTACAGCACTGGGTGCACCAACCCTCGTGACACCACTGGCTCCAGTTGCCCATGGGACCTCTCTCCCTAAACGTCCTGTGGGCAGCTCAAACAGTCATTTTCTCTTTCATTCTCAGCTTGCCCTCCTCCTGCCCTCCACTGCTCGGTCAGTGAAATTAACATCCATCCAGAGGGCCAAGCTACACACTCAAAATCCCCTTAACTTTTCCCACTGCTTTATCCCTTTGTTCTGCTGGGCATCAAGCTTCATCCACTACCAATCCCTCCCCAAAACTCCTAAATCCTGCCTCTACGTCTTTCCTTTTCCTATTTCTTTCAGCTAGAACACCTCCCCTTCCTTTGTCCCAAATCCTACTCATTCCTTGAGATTCAGCACACAGACTTCAATTAATTGCTTCCTCCTCTGATTTCTAGACAAGTTGCTCCTTCTCTGAATGCCCACAGTATTCTGAACATAATGCTAAGTTTGTTTTTTAATGACTGATTTATATATGTCTACCTCATTAGATTATAAAATTCTTGAGGGCAGGTACTGTTTCTTGATCATTGGGGCCTAGCACAGTGACTGACATTTTAAGCACTTAAAAAATACTTTTGTATGAATGAATGTACAAATAAATAGGTGAACTGGGAAAGAATCTCTTCAATTTCAGAGATTATTGTGAGGGAATCTTTGCATTAAAAGGACAGGACTGCAGTTAAAAAACAGGCACATTATTACATAAGTAAGTCAACATACAGTGAAACCTCTGGGAGCCAGAACTCCATGGGAGGGCCTTGTTTTTCCAGGTCTCGAAAGCTTTCCGCCTTTGACAGGGTGCAGTCTTACCACTTTTCTATCACTATTAGTGGAAAATTTTGGAGTTTTCCTTTTCTGACAGGTTTCTGCCTTACACAGGTTCCAGATTTCGCAGGTTTTACTATATATTGTAACTGTATATACTTGCCTGTAGAAGGCAGGTAATTGCTGTGCATCTAGAGTTTTTTTTTTTTTTTTTTTAAGCCTGTCTTACAGAATTTGATTTTTAGGCTTTTCCACGCTCTGCATGAACAGCTAAAATCTTAATCTCTTCTGTACTCTTTACAAGGAGCCCTGGAGGTACAGTGGTTAAAGCACTGGGTGCTAACGGAAAGGTCGATGGTTCCAACCCATCAGCTGCTCTGTGGGAGACAGATGTGGCAGTCTGCTTTTGTAAAGATTTACAGCCTTTGAAACCCTGTGGGGCAGTTCTACTCTGTCCTATAGGGCCTCTATGGGTCAAAATCGACTCAGTGGATGGCAGTGGGTTTTGGTTTTGGTACTCTTTACCCTGGGTGAGAGGAATTAGCTAAGGTATAAAGAAAAAACTTCTGCAGCCTAATACTCCTGTAGTGCCTGGGCACTAGACAGGCCCTCAGCGCGTTTTAATCCTTTTCCTTTTTCTTGCCCCACCCTCATTTTATATTTGAAGTATATTTAGAGTACCTAAAAGAGATGTCGGTATGAGTCAGAATCCACTTGGTGGCAACGGGTTTGGTTTTTTGTTTTTTTTAAAGGAGATGTCAGTTTTATGATTTCAATTTGACCCCATTAACCGTGACTCCCAAGCCCAAGGCGGGGGGGGGGGGGGTGAATAACCGGCGGGAGAAGAAGAGAAAGGAGGCGGAGCAAAAATTCAAAGGCAGAGAGGAAGCCATAAAGGAAAGCTCTTTTTTGGTTCGTTTGGGTTAAGCCCTGAGCTGCTCACCAGAAAGTTGGCAGTTCGAACCCACCGGCGGCTCCGCCTGAGAACGATGTGGCAGTCTGCTTCCGTAAAGATTACAGCCTTGCAAACCCTATGTGACAGTTCTACTCGGTCCTATGGGGTCGCTATGAGTTGGACTCCACTGGAGAGCAACGGGTTTAACCCAGAGAGGCGTGACTCCCTAACTGCCATCGCTGATTAGTTTCCCCGGAAAAGCGCCCGTTCGCCCGCCCACCTGCCTGAATTTCCCCGCCCCGCGGTGCACTGCAGGCCACCGCCGCTGGGGGCGCCGCGGCCGAAGCACTGAGACTGCGGCGGCGGTGGCGGTTGTTCCCTGCACCTCGCCTCTCTGGGTTCTCAGACCGGCGGCGGCGGCGGCAAGCTGCACACCGAAAAGGCGCTTACCCCCGGGGCGAACTGCAGCACGACCGCTCCCCGCGGGCAGGCGGGGTCCGCGTCCCCGCAGCCGCCGCGCTCCGGCCCGGACTGCCGCGAGAGGTGGAGGCGGCGGCG